GTGTACCGGCTCCCGGCGCTCAGAGGCGGGGGCGCTCTCTCCCGGGCCGGGGGCGTAGACCAAGAGCCCGATCTCCGAGTTGCGCTGCCCCCAGGCCGGGCGCCGCGGTGGGCTCAGCCCGCTGGCAGTGAGAGCAACGCTAAAGGGGCTCGGGGCACAAGCGCTGTGAGAGCGGGACGGAGCCCACAGGCCAAGCTGTGAGGAACGTCCTGGAGCCCTGTACCTAGAGCTGGACCCTGAGGAGAGACCTTCGGTCGAGACTAGGACCAAGCTCTGACTGGGAAGAGAAGAGACCACAGAAGATACCACGGGCTAAAAAATTAGGGAGATCCTAAAACTCAAACAGCACCTAGTCTCCTGGCCCAACAAAAAAGCTAGTGAGGAGGATCCCTGAGGTCCAGTTGGGCTTGGCCATGCAAAGAGACTAGGCTCAACCAGCCCAGCCCCTGGTCCCCCGGCATGAGACCCAGAGCAATCGCCTCTGTCTCCTTCCTGCAGGTATGGTCGAAATGGAAGAAAGTACAGAAGGTAGACCCTGTGCCTTGGTACCCAGTCTGTGTGGCGCTTCTAAATGAAGTGTCAGTCCACTGTCTGCTTGGCATTCTGTGTACTGCAGGAGATGAGAGGGATCCTGGTGCGGGACCTCACTCAGACTAACTCTTGGATGGGGACTGAGTGAGAATCTTCTTCAGTTCATGAAGATTTTTGTTCAGAATTCTCTTATCACATAGTGTTACAAAGTGAATCTTCATCTGTTGAAACTAATTGTATAGATACATCTTTAGAGCATAAAGACTTTAGCAAAAAGCCCTAAATCACTTAAATCAGTAGTCTAGCATTGAGAGAGCTATATTATAGGTGTGGTATGGGAGAGCACTTCCATTCTTGAATCTTAAAAATCTCTTTTCAGTTTCTTGTAAACATGCTTAAAGTGTTTATTATTTGGGCTGAAACTTTTATGCTTGGTCACTCCAGAAGTGAGATTTTTGGAATGTTTGTTAACTTTAGTTGCAGCTAAACAGATTTACTGATAGGCAGAGAAATTGTCAGGTGCTTTTTGTTTACTTGAATGATTAACCTGACAGAATCTGAATGTTGACACTGCAATCAAACAGGCCTGACATCCTGAGTCAGGTGATATGGGCCAGCTGAGGGAGATCTGGAGATCTAGGTATTGTTGTAGGCATGTATAAGCATTCGGAGTTTTTATTTAGGGTGAAAGTTGTACTTGGCTCCCTTACAGTGATAAAACTTCTTGTCTCTTTTGTATGCTTTTAAGAGCAGCAATGGTGAACTGAAGGCCCAAGGCTCAGGGCCCCAAGAGCATTGGGAAACCTGTGCTGGTGCTCTCACCCCACTCCCACTGTCCTCCTCAGGGCTGGAGCACACAAAATATAGTAGGCTGGGCCCTCCTAGGCTCTGGTGTGCAAGGGAAATGTGGGGACTGTCTTTCTCCTTCTCAGTCGGGGACCATGTCAGTGTGAAGTGGTTGTTGTCATTGTTGTTTTTTAATTTTTTTCTTGTGTGTGGCCCCTGATGGCCCTCAACCCAGAAAAGGTTCCCTGCCCCTGAAGTTTAAAATGTCAACTAGTCACATCGTGCAACAAATAGTGGTATTGCAACTGTAAATGCTGGAGACCCAAGCGTTCCAGTTGTAGGGTAGTGTTGGTTATGAGTGCAAGAATTTGTAAAGAGGTCTATCTACCTTTTATTTCTTATCCATTCAGCTATAGTCATTCTCATTATATGCTAGGATTGGCTTTAAGACTCCTTTTCTGTTTACTTTCTTTATATGAGCTTCAAAAAGTGAATCATGCAGTTCAACAGTGCTGCCTGTGGACACGTTCTACATTAATATGTAGCCCCCTTACATACATACTACGGCTACGTCTACACTGGCATGATTTTCCGGAAATGCTTAAAAAGGAACAGTTTTCCGTTATAAGTATTTCCGGAAAAAGCGCATCTACATTGGCGGGATGCTTTTCTGGAAAAGCGTCCGTGCCAATGTAGACACGCTTTTCCGCAAAAAAGCCCCAATCGTCATTTTCGCGATCGGGGCTTTTTTGCGGAAAAGAAATCTGTGCTGTCTACACTGGCCCTTTTCTGGAACAGTTTTCCGGAAAAGGACTTTTGCCCGAACGGGAACAGCATAGTTTTTCCGGAAAAGCACCGATGATTTTACATTAGATCGTCAGTGCTTTTCCGGAAATTCAAGGGGCCAGTGTAGACAGCTGGCAAGTTATTCCGGAAAAGCGGCTGATTTTCTGGAATAAGTGGCCAGTGTAGACACTGCCTACAGGTATCCGCATACAGCTAGGCTGCTCAAATCAAAATAGAGTTCTGTATAATTTCCCTGGGTAGTCTGCTACAGTCTGTTCCATTATGAGCATTGGGTGCAGCAGTCAGGCTCTTCTTATTAGATTGGCAGTAGGTCCCTTACTTGAACAGAGTTTAAGCAACTCGTATATAATGAAAAAGTGTTGAGATGTTATGCTGTTGAGTAGGTGCTAATATTATTTTAGCTCTACCCATCTCATTAGTACCCTCATAAGAAAGGGCATGGCATTAGCTAGAGAAGCAGGGTGTGGAGCTTGTCCTTTGAACAACTGCTTTTGACATACATTGTTTAATGCAAGAAGAGAGAGACTTAAATTACCACAACTTCATGAGCATGGATATTACAAGAAGGGAAGCTATTTGCAGGTACAAGCATATGGTTTAAACACTAGTTATATCACTGTTGCACATGGGTTAAAAGACAATCAAAGCAAATCTACATTTAAAATGCTGCATTGGTGCAGCTGGACTGATTTGGCACTTAAGCAAAGATATTCCCATGTCCATGGCAGAGCTTCTGTCAGTGCTGTTAATTCACTTCCATGAGGAACTCGCCTGACATCACTGTCTGCCCAGGGGTTTAGATTGGTATAACTACATTGCTAAAGGGTGTGGATTTCTAACTCCTCTAAGTGATGTAGTTATTAGGGATATGAAATTCCATTTAATTGGCTAACCAATATGTTTTACTAGTTAACCAATTAACGGAAGTGGGCTGGAGCAGCCCCCTGCCCACGGCAGAACTGGAAATCCCTCCACCCCCTGCTATAGGCAAGGCCTGCTTCAGCCTGGCCAGATCAGCCACTGCCTGTATGCCCTCCTGTCTAGGCTGAAGCAGCCCCTGCCTGTGAGGGATTCTGGCCTGCTGTGGACAGAGGTGAGGACTGTTCTGAGATCCCAATCAGAGCAGCTCCTGCCTGCAGCGGGCTTCCCGTGGGGCTGGAGCAGCCCCCCGCCCACAGCATGGACTGCTCCAGTCCTGCCAGTTAGCCTTAACTGGTAAGCCAGTTAACCCTTTGCATCCCTAGTAGTTATACTGATCTAAGTCCATAATGGGTGGACAATAATTTTTGAATGGGCACCACTTCAGACATTTTTGAAGTGATTGCAGGCTGCCCCAGAAGAAACTGGGCCTTGAACAGAAGGGGGCGGGCCTTTAAATAGCAGGAGTTGAAAGGACTCGTAGCTCACCAAGCATCATGTTAGCAGGGGATGGGAGCTTCAAGCCCTTTTAATTCTTGCTATTTAAAGGGCTTGTTGCTCCCAGCCTTGCTGATAGCATGTTCCCTGGGATTTGGGGACACTAGAGTACTTTTAACTGCTTTTATTTAAAGGGCTCATGCTTTCCCTGGGACTGTTGCCTGACAGCCACAGAAAAGGTGCAAGTTCTTTAAATAGAAGTAGTTGAAAGTCTCATGTATCCCTGGCTCCCAGGAAATGGGCTAGCATGGGGCTGGGAGCCCTTTCAGTTGCTTCTATTTAAAGGGCTTGTGCCTGCTGGGTGGGTGCCAGGCAATGTAGTCACCCGGCAGGTGCAAGCCCTTTAAACAGAAGCAATTAAAAGGGCTCCCAGCACCACTAGCGCATTGCCAGGGAGCCAGGACTTACGCACCCTTTTAACTGCTTCTATTTAAAGGGCTCGTACCTTCCCCGCACCCGTCAGGCAAAGTGTGAGCCCCTTAAATAGAAGCAGTTGAAAAGATTTGCACGTTCCAGCTCCTGGGCAACATAGTAGTCACAGGGCTGGGAGCTACGAGTCCTTTCAACTGCTATTTAAAGGGCTCATGCCTTCATTGCGGCTGCTAGGCAAAGTGTTGCCTGACAGGTGTGGGGAAGGCACAAGCTCTTTAAATACAAGCAGTTAAGAGCTTGCAGGTTTCTTGTTCCCAGGCAGTAGGCTAAGGGGCGGGGCCTGGAACTGCCAAGTGGGCCGGATCAAAGCCCTAAGTGGGCCGGATCAAAGCCCTAAGTGGGCCGGATCAAAGCCCTAAGTGGGCCGGATCAAAGCCCTAAGTGGGCCGGATCAAAGCCCTAAGTGGGCCGGATCAAAGCCCTAAGTGGGCCGGATCAAAGCCCTAAGTGGGCCGGATCAAAGCCCTAAGTGGGCCGGATCAAAGCCCTAAGTGGGCCGGATCAAAGCCCTAAGTGGGCCGGATCAAAGCCCTAAGTGGGCCGGATCAAAGCCCTAAGTGGGCCGGATCAAAGCCCTAAGTGGGCCGGATCAAAGCCCTAAGTGGGCCGGATCAAAGCCCTAAGTGGGCCGGATCAAAGCCCTAAGTGGGCCGGATCAAAGCCCTAAGTGGGCCGGATCAAAGCCCTAAGTGGGCCGGATCAAAGCCCTAAGTGGGCCGGATCAAAGCCCTAAGTGGGCCGGATCAAAGCCCTAAGTGGGCCGGATCAAAGCCCTAAGTGGGCCGGATCAAAGCCCTAAGTGGGCCGGATCAAAGCCCTAAGTGGGCCGGATCAAAGCCCTAAGTGGGCCGGATCAAAGCCCTAAGTGGGCCGGATCAAAGCCCTAAGTGGGCCGGATCAAAGCCCTAAGTGGGCCGGATCAAAGCCCTAAGTGGGCCGGATCAAAGCCCTAAGTGGGCCGGATCAAAGCCCTAAGTGGGCCGGATCAAAGCCCTAAGTGGGCCGGATCAAAGCCCTAAGTGGGCCGGATCAAAGCCCTAAGTGGGCCGGATCAAAGCCCTAAGTGGGCCGGATCAAAGCCCTAAGTGGGCCGGATCAAAGCCCTAAGTGGGCCGGATCTGGCCCACTGAGAGGCTTTTGCCCACCGCTGGTCTATAATGTTGTCTTGGGGTAAGATACTTAATTTGTGTTATGACTCCCCTTCCCACAGTTAGCTTCAGTCAAGTGACAGTCTTCTGGAGCTAAATTTTTGTGCAGTGTTGCTGTGTGCTCTTAAACTGCCCATGTTTCCCACCCCAGCAGTGACTGCATTTCAGTGATAGGCAAGATGTTCCATAAATATCATTTATATAATAAGCTTTTTCTAGAAATGCAAATGTATTTCACAGCAGAAATACTTTGCACGTTTTCAGAGTTTCAAGCCCAAAGCAGTCTTTAAATCTCTTCATTTCTGGTGCGTCGTTCGTAGATCCCATCACACAAGGAGATTTGTGGGGTTCTCTCCTCACCTTGGTAAAACGTATCCTACAGTTAGTTGTAGCTAAACCTGCAACCAAGCGAACATTACTAATAAGGCTGAAACTGAACATGGCTTTCATCACTTAAGCAAGAGGCCAGTAGTGTAGCCAGCAGGCTGGATTTTATTTAAATCAAAGTGATTTAAATCACTAGTCAGGAAGACTCAAATTAATCATGGTTTTCTACATAAAAGTATATTCTTATTGGTTGTCATAACCTTAACACACATTCTTCACAACTCATAGATGTAGGTTTCATTTTTAGAAGGTACACACTATACGTTTTTAAACGGTGATTCATTTTGAAAACTTTTCAGATTAGTTTTACAGCTATATCAGAAAATGAATTATTGTTTGGTTATTACATTTAACAAAGGTAATTGAAGTAGTTATTTATGAAGTCATTAGGAGGTGAACTTCTCCAATTCAGCAAGTTAATCATTAATATTTGTAGGATTTTCTTGCCATGCTGTATGAGGAGGAGAATATCACCAGACAGACATTTTACATTGTTTTATTTAAATAAAGCAACAACATTATTTATTCTGGATTTTTTTTTCTTCAACAGCAAACATAATATTTTAACAAAACACGCATATGAATTTTTAAATATAATTAAAAACATTTACGCTTTTTAAAATCAAGTTTGTTTTTGTTAAAATTGTTTTTGTTTAAAATAGTTACAATAATTTTTAAAACAAAAATTAAATTGACTGTGTCAGCCAGGTCAACATGAAAAACTTAAAATATTGGCTTCTATTCATTGAACTTTTTTGAAACTGTACTTTTAGAGAGAAAGGTAAAGAATTGTCTCTGTGTACACAAATTTGCAAAGGGACAATAGGGCTCAGGTCTGTTATTTTTCTCCTCTCTATTTTAAAACATTTTTGCTGTTAACAGCAAAAATATCTCTGGGGAGACAAATTCACAGTTTGAGAACTGCAAAACTAAATATCTCTAATCTTATCTTCTAAACTGAGCACTGAGTCCTATTGGGTAGATAGAAAGATTAACCTAAATAACTTGTACAGAAGACTCTAGAACCTCATAAAATGGGATCCCTAATTCATTAACTATTGGAATTCCCTTACAAAATGTTTCTTAAACATTACATGAATCTACTGTCTTATATTATGGAATAAATATTTATAATCCCTATTCCATGATGAGATATCTTTGAGCTATAATATATCTTAATTAAAACAATCTTTAGAAGGGCGTTTTCCTCAAAAAGCATTTTATTAAAAAAAATCCAATATAAATTTGAAAAAAAATCTGTTAGTTAGTTAACTCCACCCTGGTATCCAGACTCCATTTTCTTCAGAGGCAGAGCTGCTATTATGTTTTATGTATGACTTCAGTACCTACTAATAATAAAGCTGAGACATTTATTTGAGGCTCCAGTCCCAGCAGGCCTTGTTTGTTATTTCAGTATTATGAATTTAATGGTTTAAGTGGCCTATGATCTGAAATTTAGGTTGTCACAATTAATTACCCTCTATATAGGACCAGAAGTTCTTTCTTCAGTAATGGAGCTGAAAAATCAAAAATAACTTATCATTGTTGTAATTTTAACCCTTCTTTGTATTCCTTTTTTCCCCCCGGCCTCCTTCATATTGACGTCATCTGTTAGTCACATAATTTTAAACCCTGGTCCTGTATGTCAGACCTCTGGCAGGCTGTGGCTTTTGATGTTTGAGTTCTTATGTTGGTCTCTATTGGATGTGGACACTTACTGCTAATGCTGTATGATGGTTGGATGGGGTGTGGCAGGTTGATTTCTTCCTAGGCATTCTCCTTTTCCACTACTGCTCCACTTTCTGGTGGGAGGGAGAGCTAGAGAGAGAGAAAGAGCTAGCTGGCTTAGTAACAGGGAGACTTTCAGGGTTGAGTGAGGGATTTTCCCCTTGTGTTGGGCTCTCATAGTCCAGATCCTTATATTTTCCCCCAGTTAGGTTCCCCAAAGGATAGAACTTCTGTAGTTGTCCCTCTTTAGGCTTGTTAAGGGACAACTGGCCAGGCCCACCTTCTCCACAAGTTTCCAGTCCAAGGCCTAATGGTGATCAGGTAAGTGCTGCACCCTGGGGTGCTGGGCACTTGCTTCCCTGGATCACTTCATACCTCCCCCCTTTACCCACCGAGTAAAGGAAAGGATTGAACATAAAGATACTCTTTCAGAGTCACCCATCCCGTTTTTCCAGGCTTGGTCAGGCCACCATAGCCAGGTTTCAGGCAGCAAGAGCATCTGTAATGCTGCTTCCCAAGACCTCCAAATGTCCATTCACTTCCACTATATGCTTGACAATGAGTTACTCTGCTTCCTCTGTTTACTCCTGCTCCAGCCTGGGCAAACTTTGCAGACCTCAAGCAGCTCCAGAATCCCTTTCTCTCCAGTGTGGGGGTTTTTGTTTTTGTTTGGGGTTTTTTGAAGCACCTGCTCCAAATCCCAAGATCCAAGAAGAAGAGTGTTTGAAATAGGGATGTGAACAACTAGTTGACTATCCAATAAGCAAATGCTTATCAGATAGTTGACACACTAGATGACTAGCCAGTCACACCCACCCCCCTTGCTGCCTCTATCAGAAAGAGGCAGCGGAGGTGAGGGGGTGCTTCAAAGCAGCAATGCCGTGTGGAGTTCAGGGTCAGCTGGGGACTTCCCTGCGGACCCCAGGCTCCATGGGCGCTGCCTCTTTCAAACACCATATGGAGCACAGGGCCATCGGGGGACTACTTGAGTCCCCCACCGGCCTCATGCTCTCTGCAGTGCTTTCGCCTTTGAAGTGTAGCAACAGCCCTGGGACTGTTGCTACACTTCAAAGGTGGAGGCACCCTTATTGACTGATTGAATAGAATCTAAATTTATCATCCCTAGTTTGAAGGTTTTATTTCCATCTCTGTTCTGTGTTTCAGATTTTCATATGCAATGGACACCGATCTCAGCTCCCAGGACAGGAAGGACCTGGACAAGTTCATCAAATTTTTTGCTCTGAAGGTAATTTCTGTGTCTTGTTGTTGGAATTTTAGTAGGAACCCTCTCCTCTGAATTCATCTTCATTTATACTAAAGTTAAACCACAACTCCCTGGATAGTTACCGGCTGGTATGTCTGTTAATAACCAAGTTGAGAAGAAAAGGGCTGTTTTTCAGTAAAATTGTCGTGCTGAAAACCTAATTGTGGGTCCTGAATGATCTTGTTAGCTCTGTGCCACTTTCCCCTGTGAAATTGACTAGATGTGACTTTCATTAATCAGTCTGGACAAGTTTAAGTCTTTTGTGTAAGTAGTGTTTCCAGTTGAGTCCTGATCTTCCCTTTCTGTCCATTTAAGGTTCTTATACAGTATCCAAAATAATAACAGCAAAATATTTTTGTCACACTTTCACGGGTAACTAAAAATTGAAACTCCCAACTCCAAGTAGTTCTGTGTCTGGATTAGGTAGGTAGATTATGCAGTGATGGGTGTGCTATAAGTGCATCAACCAGTAAAGTTCCAGGATGAAGATCCATAGTTTTTGTAGAATTGATTCAAGTGCTTCAGCCACTGATTATGAAATGGCTTCAGTAATTCCTTATTATTATTAGAGACGTGGTCAAATTAAAAGCATGCTTTTGTCCAAAACATGTTTACTTGCTGCTCTTGTAACACCTTACGTGACTGTAGTGGAAGAAGATTAGTAAACCCCAGTGATCCTGAATTCTGAGCTCTGCTTAATCTTTTCCCAAAAGTGAGGCCATTTAACTGGTGTTCAACTGCCCTGAATTGGCCTGCAATCAAAGCTGAGGTACCTAGATATCCTTGAAGTCAGTGAGCATCTTTGGCTTTCTCTTTCAGACTGTACAAGTGATTGTCCAGGCCCGACTTGGAGAGAAAATCTGTACTCGATCATCTTCCTCCCCAACAGGCTCTGACTGGGTAAAGTCATGTTACTTAAAGCATCCCATATTTCTCTCATCTACTTTGTTATGCTGATAATATGGGGAACGCTTTCAAGTAGGCTATAAAAACAGCATTGTACAATGTGTTGATTTTACATCTCGGCATGTACAGTACCACCCTCACCTTTTCCTGGGTTGAGAGTTTGTATTTTTCACCAGCCACTTCTGTCAGATGACTGAAGCTCTGAAAGAGGGTCTTTCTCTCTTTATTCAGAGGTTTGTGGCTCTGACAAAGGACCTCATAAGAGGTGAGGTGTGTATATATAAAGGTAAAGGAGTGTCTGTGGGGAGGGGAGGGGGAAGGCTTCTTGAATTCTCCCTGGGTGCAAACAAAAACTAAGCGAGGAGAGTCTTTCCTTGGTATACAATGTACAAGAATTTAATTAGGTCCAAAACAAATGTTTGACTTAAATGTTTCGTATTTACTAATAATCTGGGATTTGCCTGTGCTAGACTTGAGATTCACTTACTCAGTATCTGGGTCTTACAAATCCTTATGAAGGCAAAACATTCAGCAAGAGGTGATCAGATCACCCCTAGCCCTCTCCCCAGAATGCTTTCTAAGGCTTCATCAAAACTTGTATTTTATATACCTCTCTTTTCTTTCCCAACTGCCTTGCCAAGCTCCTAACCTAAATCAAAGCAAGTAATGTCTCTGCTGCTATGGCTTGAACAATTGCAAACTCCACTGATGTCATGCATATCCATAGATGCTCCTTGGTATTGTATGATAACTCCCACCATGGAGCATTTCCCAATGTATCTGTATCGCTCTGAATATTTCTACTGTCCTGTCTGAAGGTCAACAAATGTTCTGGGTGACCCCTTATTAAGGCCTGCACGTTTAAATGCAATGGTGGTATGACTCTTTTCAGTTGTACCACAGTGTCTAAGTTAGCATTAGTCTGAGGGTCATCAGCTGGTACATTGTGGCTCTCATGCTGGGCAACTGGAAAAGGTGGGCAAGTTTTTTTGGAACTAAGAACATTGGCCAGTTATAACATGCTTGTGTCCTGTATTGGTAGCATCCAACCCATGTGGTTACACCATATTTATCATCTTCAGCCTTTGCAACCTTGGCTTGACTTTGTCCCCATTACCTCAGCTGTGCTGTACAGTACAATTTCAGGTTTTTTCATCCATAGTGAACTTATAAGCCAGCAATGTAGTACGTCACCCTGACATAACCAAGTGCCATGTCTCTTAGCATTTCCAGTCTCCCCCACCCATCTATCTCACATGTTCCTTTAAAGTTTAAAGTGTAACCTGCCATGATTGGTTCTAGCATACCTAAGGAATGGACACTACTCTCTCAATACCTTGCTTAATCTTGTGGCCTCTGGTACTGTTAGTACCGTAGGTAGAGCCTTGCACAAATACAAAATTTGTGTCCGCGTCTGCAAAAATGATCCGCAGATAGCCACATCCATGAATGTGGATATCCACAAATTTGCAGGGTTTGAGATACAAAATTTAAATCTGCATCTATATCTATAAAAAAATGAGCCGTGGATAGGAAGGATCCATGTTTCATGAAGCTTGCATCTTTTTTCAGCATAATAGATCCTTGAGTAGCACCTGGATCGTACATCAATATATATATGTTTTACTTTTGTCCGTTTTTCCAGCATCTTATTTTTTATGAACTAGCAACCCCCTCCCTCACTGAACAGGTACAATATGATATGTTAGGGTGGTTCATAATTTATAAAACATTTCAGAGTTAAATATACAACAGAATGAGGATAAGGGAAGGATTTAAGGATGTTCAATTTGCTAGAACAAAATGACAATAGTTTACGGAAGTGAAAGCAGCAATCGATTAAATGGAAAAATTAACTTTTCTGATTTCCCCCCTCCCCTCAATTCTGAGATGTCTATATGATTCCATGCAGATGTTCTGAGTGCCTCAACTCCTGTTACTATATATCTCTTCCCTGACAGTCTCACTTCTCAGGCCACCAAATTTTTGTCCATTGACTGTCTGAAATTTTGCACTGCCTTTGCTATTATACACATATAGAAGCATGCATATTTTGCATGACAAAGCTCCAGGGGTGAAGTAAAATTGGTTTAAATTCAATACTACAGGTATCATTTGGGTACATAGTCAGATGTTCACAATTTGTTACTAGTCCATTGTCAGGTTCTGCTTCTGTTCTGTGCCTGGGTCCTCCACTTGCTTCAGTCCTGGAGTAGAAGGCATTGCTACTCCAGTATATTCAGGAGGGCTAGTGATATTTTGGCCATCCTTAATCCCATTCAGAGAGAAGGTTGAAGACTGTCACATTCCTGATATGGTAGGTAGACTCATTGGCAGTAGTTTGATAAGTTGCTAAAGTAACTCTAATATTACTCATGTGCTAACTGCATGCTATGAAACTGTACCTGGTCTCTTTAGCCCTGTGGGATGTGCTGCCAAACCCTAGTGTCAATTTTGTAAAATTCTCTCCCAGTTCCCTCTAGTGAGATGACAAAATTCAACCTGCTCTAGTTTTCAGAAGTCACTTCAACACTTCCTCTGTGCCAGTGCTTCTGGAACGAGAGCCTTTTTCTTTCAGTATTGCTGATACCTCCTCTATTGCAAGGTTTTTAACCTTCACCTCTGAACAGTACCGCCCTGATTGTTGTGGACTCTGGACATGATTATACGTTTCGCTGGAACAGGCACCATAAGGGCCGCTTTAGTATCCAGATTGTTCGACTAAAGAAAAAGTGGATTATAAGGTGGTGCAACCTCCTTATACAGTACAATACTGTGCACATTAATGCTTCCACCTTCCAGAAATTCTACTTTCTGATTAAAAGCACCTGTTAGATCTGTATTCTCCAGTTGCACTGCCTCTAGCTGTGGTTGCGGAACACCATTCGACTCCCATTCCTGAGCTTTCTCAATCGAAGTTCATAGCTCAGTGACATTGTCTATCAGTTCTTGTGTCTCACCTTTCTGCATCTTGCGTTTTATATTTTCTGAAATCCAGTTTCAGCGCTTCATTTTGTTTCACAAAAGCACTGGTGGTCACTATCTCACTCTGAACAACTGTTTCTTTTACTCTTTTTGTTGCTGAAAAAGTTGCTTTCAAGCACATTAGCCACCACTTAAACATTCTCAAAAGTCAGAATTTGCTTAATCTCCTTTACTGGATCCCTACTATGTCTTGACTACGTCGTTCTCCAGCAACTCCACTGTCCCTTAAAAACCACTTTAAACCACTCTGTATTCTTAGGTCATAGTCCCTGGGACATTGGCTGTCAGCCCAATCTACATACGGCTTAGCTTGCCAGACCGTTGGCATGAGATTCACTTACTCAATAGATGGGCATAACAAATCTTTATTAAGGCAAAATATTCAGTGCATGGTGGACAGTTACTTATAAGTGGGAGGCTCATCAGGACACTCTCATCACAGTCACCTCTACCACCGGTCATTATAGCCTCAACCTTCCTATATGACACACATTTATGGGTAACTTTGTTATCTTTTCATATCCATGTATTTGTTTTTCATTTTCATGTTAACTCCCTTCCTCCCTCCACCGTCAATACAAGGTTAGTGTTAGTTAAAATGAGTCTTTTCTAGCTTTTTATTTATTTTATCTTTTTTTCCCCCTCACATATATGTTTACAATTTCTTACCCATGCACAATTCTACTATGCTTACGCTAGTTTTTCATTTTCGTGTTAACTCCCTTCCTCCCTCCACCATCAATACAAGGTTAGTGTTAGTTAAAATGAGTCTTTTCTAGCTTTTTATTTATTTTATCTTTTTTTCCCCCTCACATATATGTTTACAATTTCTTATCCATGCACAATTCTACTATGCTTACGCAGTTAAATGTTATCAGACCAACTTCTTAAAATTAACAGTAGGTTTCTGTGACCTTTAAATGTATTTACCCCTATAGTCTGTTCTGTAAGTATTTCAGGGGCACCTCTTTAATCTGTTGTGTTGCATGGTTGCTGTTACTTGAGTCTGTCTGCAGTGTGCCACTGGACAGGTTTTTCCAAAGGAATCTGAAAAATAAAATAACTTATTTCATTTTGCAGTTCAACTTGGCAATCAAAGATATACCAGAGGTTACTCATGAAGCAAAGAAAGCCCTTGCAGGACAGCTACCTGCTGTTGGACGGTCTATGTGTGTGGAGATCTCTCTCAAAACCTCTGAGGTAAGAACACAGTCAGTAGCTTATTTTGAGTCAATTTCAAAATAGCTTGTTTCGAAATTTGGCACTGTCTGCACAGCACTTATTTCAAAATAAATTGCTATTCTGAAACATCCCTTACTCCTCATGGAATGAGGTTTACAGGGATGTCGGAATAGTGAGCCCATTATATTTTGAAATCATGGGCGCGCTCAAAAGATGCGGAATAGCTATTTCGGTATACCCAAAATAGCGCTGCAGTGTAGACGTAGCCTAAATGACCTGCCTTAGATTTTATTCTCTTACCCAAGGCCATGTAAAACCTCTAGTTCGGCAGTATGCTAGTATGCCACTGAAAACGAACATTCAGGCAGTCCCCGGGTTACGTACAAGATAGGGACTATAGGTTTGTTCTTAAGTTGAATTTGTATGTAAGTCGGAACTGGCTCCAGATTCAGCTGCTGCCACTGAAACTGACCAGGGGCTGACTACAGGAAGCCGGAGGCAGAGTTGCTCTGCCCCCAGCTTCCTGGAATCAGCCTGATCAGTTTCAACAGCTGCTGAATCTGGAGCCTGGGACAGAACAGCTGGGGCGCTGCCCGGTGGGTTCCCACAGGACCAACCCGGCAGCACCCCAGCTGCTCTACTCGAGGCGTCCCGCAACAAAAGCCTGGTCTGCTGGGGGGGGGGCGCACTAGCTGTGCCCCCTCCCCCCCAGCACACCAGGGAGACCCGAGCAAAGCCACACAGGCGGAGGGACCCTGCCGCCCGTGTGGCTTTGCTCCTTTGCCCCCGAGGAAAGCTGCACAGGCGGCAGGATGTGCGGCTTTGCTCCTGTCTCCCTGGTCTGCTGGGGGGGGCCAGCAACTTTGCTGGACCCCCCCAGCAGACCAGGGACACCCGAGCAAAGCCGCCCAGGCGGCGGCTTTGCTTGGGTGTCCCTGGTCTGCTGGGGGGGGCCAGCAACTTTGCTGGACCCCCCCAGCAGACCAGGGAGACCGGGAGAAGCTTTTCTCACCCCGGAGGACATGGGTGGCGACCTGCTGCCTGTGAGCTCCGGGGCGAGAAAAGCCTCGTTCATAAGTCGGATCCGCGTAAGTCGGGGACTGCCTGTACTTAATAACAAAAGGGAAATCTCACTGCAAATTAGTGAAGCCAAATGCTTAGGAGTAGGAGAGCTGCAAAATCCGCTTATTAGCTCACCTTGAGAGCTAAGTCATTCTGATGTAAGCATGTCCTGAGTACAGCCTCGTTCCTGCTTTTTATGGGGCTCCCTTGTCCCATAGTGAGCCTTTTTTAGGTCTTGCTGTTGCTAGCACATGCATATAATAAGGAAACAATGACCATCTGTTTAAAGACTTGAGAGCCAGGAAAAATACATTCCCTTATAGCTACATTGCTGTAACTGATTCTTTGAGAGATGCAAAAGAGCTTGTTTTAAATGAATGATATTCCTGATATTTCTGTGATGCAGGGAGATTCCATGGAGCTGGAAATCTGGTGTCTAGAAATGAATGAAAAGTAAGTGTGTGTTCATGGGGCTTTGTTTGTTTGTTTTAAATTAAATGAGCAATTTTTTCCGAGCTGGCTGAACGATTGAGCACACAGGGGACCTGACTTGCAACTGAAAAGCTGAGGGGAAGAATTCAACAGCATTCTAAGAAGCTGCCAAGGGCAAATCAGAAGTTATTCCAGACAGGTTCACATGATGGGCCTTTAACTAGCAATTGGAGCTGGCAAGCTCTGCTGCAGTGTCCTGTGCTGTCTTTCTTGCCCCCTAATATATACATCACAGTGAGCAACATCGTGGAGGGAATGGAAAGACCATGGAGAAGGAGAAAAAAGACAAAATATTCTCTTTTCAAGTGCAGTGAGATTTGTAATAAGCCCTCTGGGATCCCAGTATTGTACACCTTACACTGATTTTCAAGATCTGTGTATAAAGGAATTTGGAGGCAAAGCTGGCATTTCAGTCCTGCTTTGTACTTTCTATCAGTTACGTTAAAGGAAAACACTGTCATCTGCTTTTCATAGCTTTTGCTTTTTGTATTCTTTGTTTCTCCCAGCCTCTCCAAACCTGAGACGTAACAAAGGAATGTAAGATTTGTCTGACCATATTAGATCATTGGTCCTTCAAGTCAGACATACCTCTCCCAATGCTTCAGCGGCAAAGCCCTCCCCCCATACGCAATGCACTTCTCCTGCTGTTCACTGTATGTCGGAGAAGAGGATTAGAAATTAATTCTTTCTTGGTCCCTTGTGGCAATCAACGTGCCCTCAAGCCTAAGATTCAATTTCCCAGGAACAACCAATGTTAATCATCTTAATGTTACCTCTGTCTAATACAAGACCCTATGCCTTCTACAGCAGTGAGTTCTACAGAATCACTGTTTACTGTGTGTTTTGGACTGGAAGAAGAGTTTTGGCCTGCTAGCCCAGAGAAACAGATTACTATCTTGATGCTTTATTTCATGAGTGTCACTCTAAAGTAGCATTTCTCAGATGCAGCCACAAGGGGATTTTATTGTGGCCACAGCTTCCTGGGCAGTAACTAGGGGAATGAAAAGGGAGAAAGCAGTGGCCCCACTCCCAAGATCATAAGCAGGGGTTGGACTTGGCCCCCCATTTGGAGCCACAAATGTCAAAGGAGCAAGCAACTAGTGATTTCCCCAACTTCTGGGTATGGTGAGGTTCTGGCTTTGGACTTGAGCCTTTGACTGGAAGGCAGCAGGTTCCAGCCCTGGACTGTAGCTGCTAATATTGGTCCTTGGGTCAGCACCTGTCACATCATCCCTGCTGTCTCCCTGGCCCCCCATCCAGAGCTGTCCTGTCCATAGGATGGTTTTGGGCAACCGCCCCAGGCCCTGTGCTTTGGGAAGCCCTGTGCTTCAGGGGGACATGGAAGAATGGAGGCCTAGTGCCAACATCAGATATCAGGCCCTCTTCTGCACTCACCAGTGGTGGCAGGAAGCAAAGCAACCTGGCCCTAGCCTGCTCCACTCTGCTGGCTTCCAGCGTAGCTTAGGAGAGTGGGCTTGAGGGAAGGGGTGGCATGGAGGTGGGGAAGGATCTGGGGTGGAGAGGTTGTCCTGGGCTCCACACTTCACTTGGGACAGCCCTTCCCCTGGCCATGCTGTCTCCCTACCCACCTCCCCATCCAGGGCTTAATTTATCTCCTGGCTTGTTAGGCCATTTGTGTGGGTGTTTGTTAATATCACTTTTCACCACTTCCCACTGAAATTAACAGACATACAAATATTATTTTTTGCTGCTTCCCAGTGATATTAACAGACATACAAATATTATTTTTTGCAACAACAGATTTACTAGCTAGCAATTTAGGGAAAAAGGGCAACTGAAAAGCAATAGTACAACAAAAGACAAACACTTTAGTTAGGTTCAG